ACATTTGTGACTATAAAATATTGCCATTAAGAGCAACATACTAAGTTTAAGCTAAATTACTTTCAAATGAAGAAAAAGATCATTCTATTTTGAACAAACTAAACAGAAAATGGAGTCATATAAATTAATGAAGAGCGTACATGTAAAATCAAAATAGAATAGGTGAAATGATAAATGTTACCTATTTGAGTATTATAAGATAAGAAGAAACCTACTAAAATAAAAGTAAGTTCTACCGTACATGTACAAGACCTACCTTGTTATATATGGTACAAGTTGGTTGCAAAAAATAAATATAGCAAATTAAATAAAAAAAGTATAACCAATAAATCTGACGTAGAGGGAAAAATATAAAAGTCAATTAGTAAATAAAAGTTACCTGACCTTACTAAATTGCTTCTTTTTACATGGCCAGCCAAAATAGTTTTATGTTTATTTAATACTGTTGATGATGTATACTATTCAATTAGAGTTCATCAACCACATTTATAGCCTGTTTGGTCAAGCTTTTTTTTGGCCAAAGTGTTTTTTTTTTTTTTGCCAAAAGCACTTTTGGCCAAAAATTGAGGTGTTTGGCCAAGCTTTTGGAAGGAAAAAAAGTGCTTTTGAGGAGAAGCAGAAGCAGTTTTGGAGAAGCAGAAAAAAGTAGCTTCTCTCCAAAGCACTTTTGAGAAAAATACACTTAGAAGCAGTTTTTTAAAGCTTGGCCAAACACTAGTTGCTGCTCAGAAGTGCTTTTCAAACTAATTAGCCAAACACAAACTGCTTCTCACCAAAAGTAGTTCTCTCCAAAGCACTTTTGAAAAAAAGTACTTCTCAAAATAAGCTGATTTTTAAAGCTTGGCCAAACGGGCTATTATTATGCAAACATTGAAATCGACTCAGGTATAATTTATCAACAATGAAACATGAGTACTACTTTTCTTTAAGTAAATTGTAAGATTTTAAGAAAATATAAAAGAGTAAATAGTAGGAGTAACGAATTGTGTTGGCAAAGTTCCGTTGTCGTTTAGGAGGTTAAAAAATATAAACATAGGCGCTCCTTACTCTTATTTCATTTTCTTTTTACAAAATCTATTGTTTTTAAAACAAACTACCTACTTTAAATGCGAGAAAATACTTTTCATTTCCCACATTTTGAACAAGCTTTGTATGACTTTCAAAGGGTAATAACTGATTTTTTTTTTATAACAAATACCATAAATGGAACCCATAAAGATTATATAACATATCTGCCTGAATTTAACTTCAAAAATTAACTAGACGGTTGGGCCTTCTGTCTTTGAACAAATAGAGCTCTTTTTTGAGTAAATAAAAGAAGCTCATTTTTATAAATTAAAGTGATCTTTCTTGTCCATCATAGTATATTCAAATTGTATAAAAATCAGGTAGAATTCTTTTTTGAGAAATAATTTTGGTTAGAGTAAACGACAGTCCAACATGACGTGAAAAAGAACAACAAGTATCCACCTTGCCCATAATGTTATATTCTGTATATGCATATTTAAATATCTTTAAAAGGTACATCCCTTCCTATTGAATGTAAGTGATATTTTAGCTAAATTAATTTTGGTAAAAATAGATGTTGCTTTGAAAAACCAAGGACAAGAGTGTGTGCTATCTGGTATCTGAGCAGAACTATTTTAATTAATGACTTGACATTTTAAATAAAAAATTATTTTGTCAATACATATAGTTAAATAAAAAAATTACTGATGCTAATAGCGCAATATTGTCGTGAAACAAGCTACCTTTAAACTTTAATTTTTAACTAACAGTTGGGACCAATAATACTATGGTAATTTTTTCTTTCACTGATTTTAGGCGATTCAAGATTAAGGATTTTTTTAGAGATGACCTCTAAGGTAAGAGTTCATTTATAATAAAAAATGTTTAGCATAGTGCATTGGGCCCATGCTGCTCATAGGCTACTCCTTACTAGTGTATGTATATATTTGAAAATTTTACCTCCTATAGCAAAAATTGATACCTTATTTATTTTAAATAAATACCTTTTAAAAAATTATATTCCATAGCTACCTTTTAATTTTTATAGGCAAATATCTATTTATGGTCACCTCCTACTCTTAAGCCATAAAATACTCATTGCATTATTTTTCTCTCTCATTCTTTCAGATTTTTTTCCACGCTCTCTCTCTCAACTCCAATCTTTCTCTATGAATACAACCACAATTCTCCCAAATACAGATCGAAACGGGAATGAGAGAGAAAAATTGAGGAAAGCATTGTAATGCCAGAAAATTGTTAGCTGCTCGGATCGAAACGTGAAGGTTCTAGGGTTCTGCGTCTTCCTCTTCTCTTCAGATTATATTTTACATTCTGGAATTTAGAAACAAAACTCTATATAAATCTCCGTCTTCCTCTTCTCTTCGTCGTTCTGGGTTCTGCCCAATTTGGGGTTTTCCGTCCCAATCCACAAGCGCCATTCAAATTCAATTGTAAAGAATAGGTTGTATGAAGCGCATGTGAGGGTATTATGGTAACAGGAATAGTGGCGTTTCGAATCAAAATCACGGCCCTCTCGACGATACGACATTAGGGTTGTCCTTGAACAAAGACGACGGGGTTTGGGCTGAGCAACTTGAATTTTCTGTTAATATATTTCAATGTATCTCGCTGTATTTCCATGTGTTTCATTGTATTCATTGTCTTTTTTTTTCATTGTATTTCAATGTATCTTGCTGTATTCCATGTATTTCATTGTATTCACTGTCTCGTTGTATTCCATGAATGTATTCATATATTTTTTGAATTATTATGTATTCAGATGTATATATGTATTCAAATTGCTCTATTTTTGTTGTATTTATCGGCTAGGAAAAATATTCAGCATATTTTTTCCTGAAGATTGCTATGTTTTTGGGGTATTTTTCGGTTGAGAATCTTTTTATAACTGGAGATACAAATTTTGTGTGTTATAATTGAGTTTGTTATGTTATATTAGGAGTCTATTATGTTAATTGATTCACTTTCCGTTTAAAAACAACTGTAATCCCCTATTTCATGCCGTGAATACAGTCGAATACACTCTAAAATATCTAAAAATATAGCTATGGAAGTAATATAGTAAATGCTAGCTACAACTACCTAATAACCACTAAACCATAGTGGTTTCTAAAAGTTTCTCAATATATTTCATACTTTGAACTATTGAAAAGAGAAAACAGACCACCAAAGGATGTGGTGCAGCAGATCTGACTGCTCTCCCTTAACCAGAGGTCTCAGGTTCGAGCCTTGGGTATGAAAAATCCTTGGTAGAGAGTGATTCCCCAGAATGGGGCCCTACACGGTGCAAATCTGGACATAGTCGGGCTCCAATGGGGATACTAGATACTGAGTGAAAAACCAAAAAAAAAAAAAAAGAAGAGAAAACAGAAAAAATAACTCACAAATGAGGTTGCTAGACGTTTTTTAGTTAAACAAAATATCACGTAAGTATGTTTTTCTTATGATCAATGTAAAAATGGTGTATACTTAAACATGAATCTATGTGAATTTATATAGTCACCACAAATAATTTGGATGTAAAGAGCAAGTGATTGAGAAATTAATTGCCAAATTTTTAAGGAACCGCCTAGAACAACATAAAAAGAAAAAGAAAAAAAAGAGACAAAAAATGTAGTAAAAATTGCATGGGGCGCGCTATTTGGTCGCCCCTTTTTAATTTATATCTGTTTTGTTTTTCCGTTTGCATTCGTACCAATTTTTTTTGTTAAAAACATTTTAAAAAGACGATTTATAAAAGACTATTAAATCGTAGAGGTCGAGCATTAAGGTCGTAGGTTAGGAGATAGTTGTGAATATTTCTTCGGCGCTTCAGATTGAGACTTGCCAGTTAGGATTTAGTCTTAGGATGTTAGTGGTTTCTACTGATGCCGATCTTTACCTACTTGTTATTGTTGTACTTTCCATCTATTTCGTGTTTTTATTTTATTTTTATATTGATGTTATTTTATTATGATTTTATTGATAGTACTAATATATCGTCTCTTGTCGTATTCTTGAGCTGAGGGTCTCCTGGAAACAGCCTCTGTACCCCTCAGGGTAGAGGTAAAGTCTGCGTACATACTACCCTCCCCAGACCCCACTAGTGGGAGTACACTGGGCCGTTGTTGTTGTTGTTGATTTATAAAAGACTATTGACAAACTGCAGGAAAAAACTTAAGCATGTTTGGGCTGAAGTTTTAGCAAATGAACTAAAAAACTTCAGCTTGTTTAGACTGAAGTTTCGGATAAAACTCAGGACAAAACTGTAGACTGCGTTATAAAACTTCAGCATGTTTTGGTATAAAGTTTTAGCAAATGAACTAAATAACTTCAGCATGCATTAGCAAAAATTCTTTAGAAAATTACATACTACAAGACAAAAACTTAAGCATGTTCAGTCTGAATTTTTAGCAAATGAACTAAAAAACTTAAGCACGTTTAGTCTAAAGTTTTAGCAAATGAACTAAATAACTTCAGCATGTTTAGTATGAAGTTTTAGCAGATGAACTAAAAAACTTAAGCATGTTTAGTCTGAAGTTTTAGCAAATGAACTAAAAAACTTAAGCATGTTTAATCTGAAGTTTTAGCAAATGAACTAAATAACTTCAGCATGTTTAGACTGAAGTTCGGATAAAACCCATGACAAAACTGTAAATTGCAGGATAAATAACTGCAGCATGCATTCGCATGAAGTTTTAGCTTCAATATGAAACAACTTCATGCTATAATAGCATGAAGTTTAGCTTCAACTTGGATGAGAGGAGGAGATTCTGAAGATGAATCTGGATAAGTTTCTGATTTTTTGATAAAGTTGCTGAGATGAGAGGAGGAGATCTTTTTTCGCGAATGAGTGCAGATCACGCGATTAATGCGTGATGCAGGTTTTATATTTTTGTAAGGCGTATAATTGTTATGTTATTACGGATTTTTTGTGAGATCAAATCAATAATTTTAAAAAATGTGGTACAATTTAAAAGGGGTATGGCTGCAAATCCCCAAAAATGTATGCGCCGGATCTGAAAATATTTGCAACTCGCGATGTCGTTACGACATAGAAAGAGCAAAAGGGCAGAGTGAAGTGATTCAGTGGAAGCCATGGCCAATCAATGGAAGAAACTGAAACAGCCTTCTTCTTCATCAATCTCTCCCTCTTGTCTCTTTCTCTCTCTACTCTCCCTAACTTCTCTCTTCCTCGCTTTCTCTCTCTTCAACACCTCATCTCGAAGCACTCTATCGAAGAGCAAATTGTCGTACTCCAAGTCGTGCAACTTCACTCACGGCCGATGGATTTACGATCAGAGCATCAAGTCCCCGCGCTACGACGACAGCTGTAAGGAGATCTACAAAGGATGGAGTTGCATTGGCAGTAAAAAATCCAATGCGCTTGACATTGTTAAGTGGCGCTGGAAACCCTATCAATGTGATCTCCCTCAATTCGATCCTCTCTTATTCCTTCACCGCTTCAAAAACACCAATATCGGTACTTCTCTTTCTCTCACTGTTATTTTTTTTTCCCTCTGAGCTGTGAAATGTAAGAAATTCCGCATCACAAAAGCTTGTGTAATTTATAATTTAAAATCATGAATATTGTCGATCCTCTTGTTTATCCGTTTAGCACGGAGCTGGTTTCAGGATTTAAGATAGTGGTGAACTTATTATATGTACAATTTTTTGAAAAAAAAAGGAATTTCTTTAAATTGTATGTGTGTTTGTATAATATAATATTGATAATGTATGTGTATAGTCTGGTCCTGAGAGGGTTAGTGCCTCCACAGCTTATATACTAGATTCACCTCTAGTTGATCACACTTTAATTTCTCTGTTATAGTTGATTCAAAATGTGATGATAGTTGATGACATGGATAATATTTAATGGCAACAAATTTTTTGAAACCTAAGTTTGTTTATTTTAGTTTCTGACAGTGGTCTAGTGGTACAGTTGAACTTATGGATGTTAAACAGTGCAGGGTTTGTCGGGGACTCCTTAAACAGGAACATGTTTGTTTCACTTTTCTGCACTTTGAAGCGGGTCTCAGGCGAGGTGAAAAAGTGGCGCCCTGCCGGGTCTGATCGTGGTTTTACCTTTCTGAAGTATAACCTTACTATCTCTTATCATCGGACAAATCTTTTGGCTCGTTACGGTAGGTAAGATTTGATGAAATAGTTATTTTCATTTCTGTTAATATAATTTTAATCAGATTGTTAGACTAGGCAAGGTTTGTTGGCATTTTATCATGCAGATAAGAGCTTAGGACCATAATCTAGAGTTTTTCTATGTGTGGACTTTCTTAATGGATACTTCAATAACTGTGTTAGTGTTATTTTCTTGCTTATTTCAATTTCTGCATGGCATGTGCCACTATTTTATCACAGATTTATAGTGAGGAATTGTACATTGTAGTATGCATAACTAACTGGATTGTTTGAAATGTAATTAATAAGGATGGTTTTGTTAGTTATACTCTATGCATGTTGTTAGCTAATTCAAAACATGATGTAGAAAAGAAAATTGCTGGTGGTGATCTTATGCCGGTGTGGCTTAAGACTAGGCTCTGAGTAATTTAAAAATTCTCATCCAATTCTCCTCCAAGTTTATTAGATGTGGTGGTGTGTTATGACTGATAATATCTTGCTCCTACATATCAATTTCCAAGGACTTAAGTAGGTTGTAAACTTTTACATTGTTCATGGTTTCATACACTCTGTTTTTATATGATGTAGGTGGTCAGCCAATGCCAATGGCGGGGTGCTGGAATCTCTTGGATATAAGGAGGGTTACAGAGTTGATGTTGATGTACCAGAAGGAACATGGGCGGAGGCGCCAAGTTTCCATGACATTCTCATCTTTAACACGGGTCACTGGTAAGGTCATTTTCCTGTGTAATCACTTCAGTGTAGCCTTCAGTATGAATGTTGATACAACTTTTTCAGTTCTGTGAAGGGTGAATTCATGGTCAATACTTGATGTTCAATTTTGCGTAGCATCTTTGGCTCTAAGTAATTCGTGTGCTTAATCTATGTTGATGGGATTAGCTTTAGTTGTTTTGGACCTTTTGGTCTGCCATTCTACCTGCTTCAGCCTAACTTCAAAAGGTGCCAAAACTCGGTTTATTCGTTCTCTTCTTTTATTATTACCAACGGGAAGGCAAAGCACATAGTAACTATTTCCTAAAGACCAGGGTAAATACCAGTTCAACAAAACAAATAAAGTTTTGTTTCCTGCATTTCGAATTGTAAAACTACCAAATAAGTAAACAAGTATCAAATTGTAAAACATCCCTTTGGATGGAATTTCTCAATTTTTGCAGCATGCACATGTGGATATTCCGATTGGCAGGGTATTGTGATCAAAATATCAAGGACAGCCTTCTAAACTATGGTAGAAAGCACAGATGTACGCAGTCCACCATTTATTAATAAAGAGACTTGATTTACTTATAAAAGAAAGTAATGAAGAGAGACAACCTCCTGATTAAATAAGAGCTAGAAAAATTGTTCAGTGCTACCTAGTGATCTTTGGTGATTATAATGGAAAGCAAAAAGAGTGAGTGAAGAATAGAGTGGAAGGAAAGAAGCAAGGAGCATACTGAGGGGTATGGTCACCTAATTAAATCCCAGATTTATTATATGCTCTCACAGGGCACATTCTGCTGTTGTCGCATCACTTTGGTATTTGCTGTTTCTTTACTGTTTTGTATCCTTTGATTGTGTTGAAATCCTCCTGGCGATCCATAATAGATTTTCCGTTTCAAATCAAAAGTGATTAACCTTCAATCTAGATATCTTTGGATTTCCATTAAATGACAACGTCGATTAGTCCAAATCAGCAGAATCAGTACATAGTTGAAGAACAACACCATATCAGTTGCACATATATTTAGTGGGGATTATAGTTGAAACCTCTTAGAAGTTGAAATAGTATATAGTAATTTGTATGGCTGAATGAGGCTTATCTCAGAAACTATAGGTGCTGAGATAACTAAATTTCGCACCTACAATTTGATACTTACTGAGTACAGCCTATAGTTTCTTAAGTTTATGTTGTATCTCAGTTACCTGTAATTTCTTAGTCTAGGTATCCCAGCACCTATAAGTTCTTATACAGCATTGTATCTTTAGTTTCTTAAAGTTGATGTTGTATCTATGGCCCTAGGAGATTAATTTTATCTGGCATCAGGATTCAGAGGCCCTGCTGTAATTTTGAGCTTGACATTCTGTTAGCTTCATTATTGCATCTTTAAGTAATTCGTTTCCTTCAATTAATTTTTTCTTACTGATAAGTGATTTTTTATCCCGCTTTCCATTTTTCTGTTAGGTGGTGGGCTCCTTCAAAGTTTGACCCAGTAAAGTCACCCATGCTTTTCTTTGAAAAGGGTAATCCTGTGGTGCCTCCAGTGTCTACCGAGAGTGGGCTTGATATGGTATTAAAACATATGGTACTGCTCTATCCTTCCCTTGTTTATTATGTATAAAGGATGGACAAATATCCTTTATAGACGTGCATTTGATATGCCTTGTGAGACATTGTTCTTGATACTGATGTGGACCAATGTTTAGAAAAGCATTTTTTCTAAGTTGGCCTCCAGGCACCATGTTGCCTAGAATCTTGAGACTCTCTGCCTTGGCCATTTGGGTTAACCTTTTGTTCTGATAGTATTTCATCATATTAATAATTTCATAGGGCCTTGCACATATCTTATAGTATGGATGCATTATTTCATAGGATTTATGCCTTATAAATGTTAATGTGTAGAACTTAATTCTCTTCAGCTCCGTTCAGAGGCTAAAACTTCAGTTGCTCGTATATGCTTCAGAAGTTTATATGTGCTACTTCTCTGACCTTCTTTGTTTGTTGTTTCTACTAGATATCTTATGTTGAAAAACGAATGCGACCGAGCACAACAGTGTTCATGCGAACCCAATCCCCGAGGCATTTTGAAGGAGGTGACTGGGACCAAGGTGGCTCTTGCCAGCGCTCACAGCCTCTCTCGCCTCAAGAAGTAACTCTCTCTCTCTTTTAATGAAGTCCATATTATCGAGTATCAAAACCGTGCATAGTTTTCCAGCATTCTTGGAATACATGTGCTGTTTGCCCTCTTCCTGTTATGATTACTTCCACCTACAACTTGGACACTTTCTCCACTTCCCCTATGCAGTAGCACTGAAAGTTAAGCCTTTGTGCTCTGTTTATTCTGCAGGTGGAGGAACTCTTTTCCCTTAAAAACAATGGAACTAATGTGGAGGTTCGCCTTGTGAACCAGCACCTATACAAGGCTTTTGAAGGCACTAGATTTCATAAGCTGGACATATCTCATATGAGTGAGTTTAGAGCGGATGCCCATCCATCTACAGCAGGTGGCAAGAAACATGATGATTGCATGCATTGGTGCTTACCAGGACTTACAGATACCTGGAATGACTTGTTTGTAGCATATTTAAGCAATATCAAAGACAGGACCTAAGTTATGATTATATAATTCTTTTCTGTTAATTTAATACATTTTTCTCCCCTGAAGGGAATTTTGTTAGAAGTTGGCTGTATTCAAATCTCCTCTGTACTAATTAGTTAGTATACTCCCAGTGAATTCCTACCCATCAGCTCTTTAAAAATACACAGTAGACAGCCACCAGCCCCTTCTCACAACTAGAAGGTAATTGTGAACCTGATACATTTTTGCTGGTAAGTTAACAAAAAGTTGTTCAGACTGCGGAAAGATGTTGATTTCTTTTCCTCTCTGTTGTGACCCAATTGGTCAACTGGTATAAAGTTGTTCAAGCATTCTATACCTCTTTATTACCCATTCCAAGAATGTTTTCTCATTAATTGATAAGGGTCTGGGAGACACTTTGAAGATGCATTATCAGCTGCCTCAGATTTGTAACTCCAGAGATAATTCAGGAAACAATGGTGGAAAATCACCCGCTGATGGCGTTGCTGAGTGTACCTTTTACCAGTCATGTAATCCCTTTCTAGTTTTTTTTTCTTTTTCAATTGTTTGAAAAACTCAAACAAGGTAGACGTGAAAGACAAAGCAGTCTAATTTTCCATGGTAATAATTAGGGGTTACTTTCCTCTTGCACGTTGCAACTGATGACTTTTGTGTTCAGAAGGCACTAATTTTCTCGGCCTTAGCGTAATATGCAGTTATATGCTAATTAATTCCAAAGTTTACAGCGTGACTTTGGCATATATAATTTTTGGTTCTTACCATTAAAAAATCATTTTTTCCCTTTGTATAGATTCAAATTACTCTCATAATAGCACATTGTGTGTAGGCTATAGTATAGCTTATCTACATTTGGTCTTTGCACAAAACTAATAAGTGTGTGATATATGTTTTTCACGAAAACTTTTGTCAAGTAATCGCTGTTAATGAATATTCTTTCATACCTCAATTTGTCAACTTCATCATGTTTCGCTTGGTATATCCCATGAAGTGTATCCTCATTCTTGTTTAAACTAATTCGTGCAAAACTACAAACTAAAAAAATCTCGATGGAAGAAAATAAGCATTTAAGCTATATACGCACCAAAAATATACAAAACATTACAATAGTATTGCAGTTTAACTAGTTTCTGCAGGTTAGTTATTATCTTGTTTTTTCATGTTATATTTACCATAGACAGGTGAATAAATTGTTCTTTTTATATAAAAAGAATCACATAGTATTTTACAAACATTAAACCTCAACAATAATGTATGTTCCTCATTCTCATTTGGTGGTAAAACGATGGGCTCCTTGCCTGTCTTTTTCAGTTGACCAAGGTTTACATTTTGCTTAGCAAATGAAATATGTATATTAGGCATGTGAACCTCTATCTTTGTCAAGTCATGCAGAACGTTAAATACAATTATCAATCCTATACTCTCATTTTTTTATGGTGCTAATTTCTCAAAAGCCCACATTCACGGGCTAACCATAAGTTTTCTTCCTCATTTTTTTCTCCTTTTTGTCAAGAAGTGCCTATAAATACCAAACAAACCATCTCATTTCTCCAACTCACAAACACAATCACCTTCTCCATTTCCACCAAATTTGCCTTCAAAAGCAAAGAAAAAGGAAATGGAGATCTCAAAAACAACTTTTATTGTGTTCATGGTTTTAGCCATGGCCCATTCTTCACTAGCCCAAAACGCTCCCAAAGATATCGTTATTGTCCACAACAAAGCCCGTGCAGAAGTTGGTGTCCCACTCCCACCATTAAAATGGAACGACACTCTTGCTTCCTATGCCCATGACTATGCCACCACAAAATTAGCTGAATGCAAATTAATACATTCTGATGGACCCTATGGTGAAAATCTTGCCATGGGCTACGGCGAATTTTCGGCGGTCGACGCTGTTAACCTGTGGGTAGGAGAGAAACCAAACTATGAATATGCAACAAATTCTTGCAAAAGTGGGATGTGTGGGCATTATACTCAAGTGATATGGCGTAACACACTTCAAGTTGGATGTGCGAGATTGAAATGCCAGAATGGTGAAGCTTGGTTTGTGTCATGTAACTATTATCCCCCTGGAAATTACATTGGAGAACGTCCTTATTGATTAATATAATTAAAATGGTTTTAATATATTAATTTCATTCCATGCAAGTATATATATATATATGTTACGTTCCAATTTTCAACATGTAATAGGGGAGATGGTCGTAGCTAGCCCTGCGATCGTCGATCAGTTTTTGTGAAAAACAAAAAGGAATATAAGGACTAATTTTGGATATATATAATGACGATCTAGATCCCTTATTAACTTTCGTGGGTTTTAAATAATAGGGACATGTTAGGATGGATTGATAACTATATATATACGGAATACACATACACTGCAAAATCATGCAACAAACTGGGATTCATGATAATACGTTATTCTATTGTCATCACGATGAGAGTCTAATTCTGGCTAATAATAAAAGGTCTCAACCTGAAAATAGCTTATGCTACAATATGAATAATATTATGTTCTGTTCCAATGTACTTCACCTAGAATTTAAACATTATCTTCTCTGAACTTACGTTTATATGATAGTAACTAATATTACTACTTTCATTTCAGGCGTAACCTTAATAATATTTGCTTATCAAACCATATGCATTATAAATATCTAATTACTATAATTAAGCGGTTTGAAAAAGGAGGATCAACTTCATGAACATCTTTCACCGTTAAATATAAAAAAAGAATTAATCCAATTAGCGGCCCATTACCCAATCATAGAAATTAAAAAGAGATTTTTACATTCCTATGCTACATAGGAAACCTTATTACCCTCAATGTTTAAGGTTTGACTTAATTACACTTAGTATACCAAATTACCAATTCTATACCATAATTAATTAAGGGTATAATTAATTGTACATTTTTTACTCCTTAATTAAAGAAATCTGCATGTTTCTCTCTCCTAACCCCTCAGTCCCACCCACGTTTTACCCATACCCATGTTCTTTTTACCATTTTCCATCTTCTGAAACCAAATTCTCCCTCTAAATTCACAGAAAAGTGAAGAAACCTTTCAACAAAGTTGGTTCCCCCATTTTACTCCAGTTGAAGTTCATCAATGAAGAACAACAAAGTTCATCAAAATTGAAGTCAAATCTTCAAAGTTCATACACACATTTACCTTCAGCTTCAAATTTTCTCAATGAAGAAGAACAAACCTTTAAAAAGAGACAAGAGAGCAGCAATTCCACCATTGACAGCCATTAAAAAGTTTTGAAGCTTTGAATTCAAATTTGGATTTTCAAAAACCATTATTTGTTTTGATTGGGTGTTGTTGAAAATAATTGGGAATATGTTTTGGAGTTTATATCTCAATTTTGAGGGGTTTTGGTGAAGATTAGACTTGGTTTTGACTGAAATTCAGATTGAAACTCGAAGAAGAAGAAGAAGACATATTGCAGAAATTGTAGATAAATTGTAGACTGTTTTTTGTAGAAGATTTTGCAGAAGTTTTAGTCGTTTTGGATTTGTGAAAACAGAAAACAATGCATCTACAATCAGAATACAAATAATCTACAATTTATCTACAAAATATCTACAAACTGGATACATTGAATTTTAATATCCCAATTCCCATTTCAATTGTAGCATAATTGGCATTTTCGACATAATTGCGTTTTTTGCAGAAGATTTGTAGAAGTTCTAGTCGTTTTTGATTTGTGAAAACAGAAAACACAGCACCTACAATTAGAATACAAATAATCTACAATTTATCTACAAAATATCTACAAACTGGGTACATTGAATTTTTATATCCCAATTCCCATCTAATTGTAGCATAATTGTGATTTTTGACATAATTACGTTTTATCAGAAGATTTGTAGAAGTTTTAGCCGTTTTTTATTTGTGAAAACAGAAAATAAAGCATCTACAATCAGAATACAAATAATCTACAATTTCTGCAATATGTCTTCTTCTTCTTCTTCTTCTTCTTCTTCTTCTTCTTCTTCTTCTTCTTCGAGTTTCAATCTGAATTTCAGTCAAAACCAAGTCTAATCTTCACCAAAACCCCTCAAAATTGAGATATAAACTCCAAACCATATTCCCGATTATTTTCAACAACACCCAATCCAAACAAATAATGATTTTCGAAAACCCAAATCTGAATTCAAGCTTTCAAGCTTTTTAATAGCTATCAATGGTGAAAAATATCTGGAAGAATATTTACTTCCATAATTGTAGCGCGCCTAAATAGGAATATCTGGAAGAATATGATTTGATCTGATTTACGCCAAATCTTTTTAGAATATTCTGTTCCTCAATTTTAGCTCGACAAATTAGGAAGATTCGGCTACTATTAATTAGTATTTAATGATTGGTATAATAACTGTAGAAAAAATGTGGAAAGGGCGGGTAAATTAGAAACTATGAACATTTTTGGTAATAAGGTTTCATATATGGTATAGGAAAGAAAAAATCTCAATTAAAAATAGCACGTGGATATATAATATATGTATAATCCATGTATATATAGTACGTGTATAACAAATGTGTGCAAATAGCAAAAGTTTTATAGTGTATAAGTTTAGTTTCCAGACAACCCAATCTTGCTGCTAAGGATAATGCAACAACGTTACTTGACTACAGAAACTTCCCAATTTTATCATTCCCAGAGACCTAATCCACAGAAACATAAGATACTAATAATATAGAACATCTAATTGCCTTACACATCAACTCTTGCTTTCATAAACACTGCAAAAAAAATAAAAATAAAGGAACAACGCAATAGCTATGCAATGGCGGACGCGGAATTTTTATTAAGGGGTTCAAAAATGAAAAAAGTTAGAAAATTAAAAGATTAAAAGTGATTGTATCTAGTGGGAATTGAACCAATTCCTCACAAAGTCTTTGAATCTCCTTGACCACTGAGCTATGCTTTTGGGATGTGATCAAGAGAATTCAAAACATATATATAATATATAGAGGTAAAAAATAAATTTTGCCTTATATATACAATGTGGTTTTGGCGAAGGGGGTTTGCCTGTTCGGGTAACCCCTTCCGCTCCCTAAATCTGCCCCTTCAGCTATGTATTGCCACTTCTCTCACACCCTAAAAACAATCTACGCACGTGAGAATCACGTGACAAAACAAAAAGCTTTGAAAATGAATAAATAATAATAACAATAAGAGAAAACTATTAAAAACATAGGTGCATTCGAACATAAGTATAGGGGTCTTTAGTGTAATTAATTAGAATGCATAATTGAATGCTTAAAATCGTACTTAGTGAGCAAAAAATGCGGATGATAGCAGATTTATAATTCACATTGAATGCTACTAATAAATCGCAATGGTTGAGAGCAACTTATTTTGTAATTTACGTGATGCGATTTATAAGTCGCAATTGTTGATTACGATTTATACGTCGCAATAGATAAATGCGATTTATAACTCACTCTTCAACTGCACTTTCGTAACTCTTGTTTGAACAAGAAATAGAGTCGCCAATACAAACACGCTTTCTCCTATCGTAACTGGCTAACCATTTTCCTCTGCACTTATGATGTATTCCTCCATTTTCGAAGGCGAATGAAGTAATATCGACTGGTTTTTAGCAGAGATAACCTACATTCAACCTCCAATCCCTTCACAAAACAGTCCAAAATGTTCTGATTTCAGGCAATTCCATTGTGTATTGAGTTATGAGCACGATATATGGCAAGGTTTCCGTATTTTGAAATATAGATTTTGCTCAATTTGAGTTGAACGTTTCCATATTTTTTTCTTTTCAAAATTCGAATAGGTTTCTGTTGATTATGATCTTGTGGTGTTAATAGTTGTTTTGAGTTTTCATATTGGTTTTGAATTTGTACTTTGTTCGGACAGTTAAATTGCCTTACTCGGATTATTACAGAGAACTGAAAATTTCAAAGTGCAAATAGTTGTTCATGGTTATGTTTCAAAGTGAAAAAATTCATCATTCCCCTATCCTGTATAATAGGCCAAATGGCCATGTGGCTACTTAATCTTGTATCAGTTTGTAAAACCGATACATGAATTTACATTTTTTCCATTTGAACACTCCAATTTAATGGAATGGATACGAATAAATACATCCAGCAAGGCGTATATATCAATTGCGGCCAAATGGCCCCGTGGATTATACAACCTGGACACATCTTCTCTCTTGTAAGAGTAATGCCCTATCTATCCTTAAGGCATTTACATCTATGGTCAAAGTTCACTTTCATTCCAATGTCCATACTTTTAGGTCATATAATGCCTTTGAATTAGGTAGTAGTACTAAAGCCATTGATTTCTTTAGTACTGACGGTGTCCTTCATCAAACAATCATTCCTCACACTCCACAACAAAATGGTGTTGTGGAGAGAAAATACAAACACCTTTTGGAGGTTGCCAGGGCTCTTCTATTTCAGTCTAAGCTTCCTGTCAAGTTTTGGGAAGAGTGCATACTTAGTGCTACTTACCTTATAAATAAAATGCCCTCACCTCTTCTGCTCAATCTCTCTCCTTATGAGAAATTACATGGGAATCCTCCTGCTTATGAACATTTAAAATCCTTTGGGTGTCTTCGCTTTGCAACATCTCCTAAGATGGACAAGGATAAATTTCAGTCAAGAGCCTTTTTCTGCTTATTTTTGGGTTACCCTTGTGGAAAGAAGGGCTACAAGTTATTGAATCTTTCTATTTTTCTGTTTTCTATTCTAGAGATGTAGTGTTTCATGAACATTTTTTTTTCCTTACAAATCAGCATCTTATTCTCCTCCTTCTTTCTTTTCTTCTTTTGAACACTCATTTACTGAATCACCATCTCCTGATTCTGCCACTCCTTCTGCTACTGAAGACTCTTCTCCTCCTACTTCCAATCATACCATGCCTCCTTTAGCACCTTCTCCTCCTCCTCCTCTAAGACTCTTCTCCTCCTACTTCCCGTCATACCATGCCTACTTTAACACCTTCTCCTCCTCCTCTAAGTCCTGCCATCTCCAATGTTCATTCTCCTAGCTTTTTAGTTTCTACTTCATCCCCTGAATTCCAATTACCTTTCTCATATATCTCCTCCTCTTAGGAAATCTCTTAGAACAATTATCAAACCTATCTACCTGAATGATTATGTCTGCAATTCTGCTTCTCTTCCTGTTCCCCCACCTGCTTCTTCCATGGTTCCTCCTAGTGACCATCATATGCATGAGCCTCAGTTTTATCAGTAGGCAGTATCAAACCCTGCATGTCAGGAGGCTATGCTACAAGAATTTAGGGTTCTTGAAGCAAACCAGACCTGGGACATTGTTCCTTTACTACCTAACAAGAAAGCCATTCCTTGCAAATGGGTCTATAAGATCAAACAAAAGTTCTGATGCCTCTATTGAAAGGTATAAGGCCAGGCTGGTTATTAGGAGTGATGCTCAAAGGGAAGGCATTGATTTCACTGAGACTTTCTCCCCTGTGGTCAAATTGACCACTATTAAATGACTCTGACCTTAGCTGTCAAGAGAGGTTGGACTGTTTTTGAACTTGATGTCAACAATACTTTTCTCCATGGTGACTTAAGTGAGGAGGTCTACATGAAGGTTCCTCCTGGACTTGATATTTCTTTTTCTTCCTCATCTCTACCACTGGTTTGCAGACTTAAGAAGTCCCTCTATGGCCTCAGACAGTGGTTTTCAAAACTTTCTGAAGCCCTGTTATCTAGAGGTTACATTTCAAGTCTTAATGATTATTCTCTCTTCCCCAAATCAACCTCTAATTCTCTGGTGGTCCTTGCTGTGTATGTGGATGAAATCCTCTTAGCTGGGGATGATGTATCTGAATTGAACTCATTAAAGTTCTTCTTGGATTCTCAATTCAAGATCAAGGACCTGGGTACAGTACACTATTTTTTGGGGTTAGAAGTTTCTCAACATCCTCAAGGCTATCTTATGACTCAACAGAAGTATGCCAATGATCTCCTTGCTGAATTTAATTGCCAACATTTCTCACCTGTTCTCACTCCCTTGAATTCTTCCTCCAAACTGGTATTGGACTTGGGAGAACCACTAATTGATCCCAGCACCTACAGAAGATTGATAGGTAAACTCAACTTCCTTCAACATACCAGGCCATATATTTCTTTTTCTGTACAACACTTGAGTCAATTTCTTCAGAAGCCTCAAGTGCCCCACATGCAGGCTGCTCTGCATGTCCTAAGGTACCTTCTAAATGATCCAGCTCAGGGTATTCTACTGCACAGTAGTTTTGATTTCTCTGTTCTTTGTTATTCTGACTCTGATTGGGCTGCCTGTGATGTCTCTCGCAAATCTATCTCTGGTTTCTGTATAACTCTTGGTGGCAGTCCTATTTCATGGAAAAGCAAGAAGCAGCCCACTATATCCTTGTCTTCAGCTGAAGCTGAGTACAGGACCTTGAGGAAGACTGTAGCTGAAATCTCTTGGTTAGTTAGACTTTTGGGTGATCTTGGTCTGCCTATTCACAGCCCTGTCCCCATTCACTATGACAGTCAAGCAGCATTACATATAGCCAAGAACCCTGTTTTCATGAACGTACTAAACACATAGAGATTGATTGTCATTATGTACATGAATGCCTGAATTCTGGCCTTATTTCCTTGCATTTTTTCCCCAGCTCTGCCCAGCTCGCAGACATCATGACTAAAGCTTTGCCTGGACAGCCTCACTATGGTATTCTTCACAAGCTTGGTGTGCTTTCACCCTCCAGCTTGAGGGGAGGGGGGGGGGGTTAACCTGCCCAATGCAATGGCCCAACAGGGCAGCCCATCAAGACAGTGCATCCCGTATTTTTATGTAAATAGTTTTATCATTCTTTCATTTTTGGACTTTACATATATTGAGATATTTTGTAATAACACGGCAAAACATTCTAGACAATAATAAATGAATTCCTCTTTCTCTCTTTCTTCAGAAGCTCTTCAGAAACTCTAGGGTTTTCTCTTTTCCTTTTCTGCTCAACAATGAAGTTTGATGATGTTAACATAATCTTGTATCAGTTTGTAAAACCGATACATGAAGTTACACTTTTCCCATTTGAACACTCCAACTTAACGGAATGGGTACTAATAAATACATCCAGCAAGACGTGTATATCAATTGCACTGATATGTACAACATGTCATATGCTAGGGTATTTATTACTTGACATGTGTTATTTGTGGGTCCCATTTAAATATTAAATCAGCAAAAAAGAAGAAAAGGAAAAACACCTCACACTTACCCTATAACCGTACCCAACAATCCCTCTTCTTCTCCGTTCACCCACCTCCCTTCCTTTCCTTACTCTTCTTCGTTTTTCTCCTGTCTCTTTTTCTTCATTGTTCTTATCCTTTTTATTTCTAAATTAAATTCACAACACCATTATGGTCATTATTAGACCATAACAAAAAATTAATTAATTTTGAAATTTCACAAAAAAATCAATAGAAATCCATAATTTTAAAATAGTGGAGGTCGCCCAATACCATTGCAAATATCTGCCCTTTTTAACTGCTATTTTGGGAAAGATGAATTCAGACCAACGACAAAACTCAGGCTATCTTCTACCCGCCGGTGTTTGAGGGAGGTTAGGACGGAAAAGGTGGGTGGAGACTGTCGCGCCCCCTTTTTTCCTCCTCGCGGAGAACGTCCGGGTTTCGACATTTCATGGGGAAACAACTCTTTTCCTTTTGGGAATTGGGGAATTTGAAGAGTTGCCACCTAACGGATTAAGGTGCGTTAGGGTACCTAGAGTAATTAACTCATGAAACTAGTTCTCATTACCAGAGATTAGGGTAAGGGCTCGAAATAACCTTGAGGGGAAAGTGTTAGGCACCCCTCGCGGTCCACAACGGTGGGTCCCGGCCGAACTTATATGAATCAGTCATTTTGAACAAATAAACAGTTCACCACATATTTGCAAATAAGGGCATATTTTTTTTATATTCTAAATACAGAGACGATTCAGGTAATGGGAGCAAGAGAGAAACTTGAACAATTTGCACATGTATAAGTAAAGAGAAGAAATTTTATAAAATTTAAACACATATGGAATTGGGAAAAGGGGTCCTAGGTTGGTTAGCCTACAGGATCATACCCACACAATGCCCGGTAATCACTCCTCAATGAGGGGCTACACGTGGCATTAGTGCATAGTCATCATATCCTTAGTACCCAATTCCCTCCCCTTTGGTCATGGCCTAAAGCGTTCTAGCAACCTTGAGAGATATCCTATGCATGCACTACCGTCCCTTCCTTGTGGCCCTGGTGGTATTTAGAACCTCTAATTCAGGTAGTTCTAGACCATCCTAATGCACTTAAAGGAGAAAAATCTAGGCGTCAAACAAAACAATTAGGACTGCACTGAAAGGAGAACAATTAAAGGCTCACATTTACCTCCACAAACAGAGCAAACAAGTGCACGTCTTAAACACAGTTTCAGGTATTTAAAAGAAGCCCTAGAACAGGATATCTAGGTGAGCAGAGAATATGCAGTATTGAGTTAGGACCAAAGTGTGAAAGGCCTATTCAGTTTGCCTACTGATTTTAGACCTGTTGAATATGAGCAGTCTCAAATAACAAGGCGGAGTTTTATTGGTTTGCAGAATTTTAGTCGCCCTACAGGCTTTCCTAGGCGTGCAATAGTGATGTCTTATGAGCATGATATCTAATCACTGATCAGGAATGCAGTAAAACATTAAGCAATTTTAAAATGGCAATCTGAGTCCTATAGGCATGCTTTCTAGTGATGTTGATTGAGTAGGATAATTAATCCGATTCAGAACTTACAGGCGTGAGTTAAAGTTGGACTGATTTTAGATCCTATAGGCATGGTTTCTATTAAAACATAAGGCGAAACAAGCAGAATTTATTTGACCAAAGCGAAATCTCTGTAGGCATGATTTCTATTAAGGCTGATTTAGACCCTATAGGCATGATTTCTACTTGTGAAAGTAAAGCAGGCAAGAATTTATTTGAACCAAAGCAGATCCTATAGGCATATTATCTAACAAACACATCAAAATAAACCCTATAGGCATGTTATCTACCCAACCTTACCCATAATATACAACTACCTCCCTTTTCACCAGTCACCCTAATGTTAGTTTACAATTAATTATTACAGACCAAGAACTGAATAAATTACATAAAATACAATATACATTAAACTATAGGGAGCCTGAAGCAGGCCCAAAGTAGTTTCCAAGCCTTCAGTAGCTTTAAGCACTCAAAGTTTCATAGCCAATTTCATGTCTAGGTGTGTCAGAGTTCCCTAAGGATCTCGGGCAGTGCTCACACCCAGACCTTTCCAAATGAACTGATTTATGTGCAGTGTGGAAGGGCCAGCCCTGATATGCCAGAGTTCAGAGAGATCTCAAGGGTCTCAAGGCAGTACACATACCAGAGGGGCAAGACTTAGTAATCTAAGAGTAATGTGAGAGTGCATAATGATTTGAAAGAGTTTGGTAAACAGTAGCAAATGGGCCTTAGGGGGGTAAAAGATTTTCTGAAATCAATACTAGTTAGGGTGGAAAACAGTTTGAGAAAACATGAAGAACATTTTGAGATCAGAGAGCAAGTCACAGAACACACAGTTTCAGAAACATTTTTGGGCAAACAGACTTCACATAAGGAGAAAGGGGGT